ATTCGGCCTTTTCTACCGTATATTTTAAATAATTCCCGAATCCTATCTTATCGTCTAGCGTGATTTCTAGATATTTCACCTGTCTGGGATGGTCAATTTCTATTCCAGAGATTCTTACCTTAATCTCTCCTCTTTGCTTGGGCCTTTTAAGATAATAGCCCCAGATTTTTGTGCAGCTAATTTCAGCTTATTTTCTTCTATCCATCTCTCTATCCTATATAATGATTCATTAATTTTATAAACTAACTCTTCCCTATCTACAGCTTCCGTAATAACCGCAAGATCATCAGCAAACCCCTTCCATTAGCTATATTCTTAGTATGCCATCATACAATACACTCCACAACGTGGGTACTAATACGGATCCATGTGGTACTCTTGTCCTCAGTTCAATGCACACGTTTTCGACCCTTATATATCTGTGATTTAGGTAACTGTCTATTACATTTATCAGTATCTTGCGATTCCTTTTTCTTCCAGCTTAACCATAATTTTTTCCCACGATGCCATATTAAAAGCATTTTTGATATCTACGGTCACGACCATTACCATTTTTTTAATTGATTCCATAGCTCTTTTAACTACCTTTTCTATCGCTTGTATTGTTGATTTCCGTTTCCTGAATCCAAATTGGTTTGATGAAAATCCTCCCTTACTTTCGATCTCTTTTTCTAACCTGTTTTTTAGCATAATTTCGTATAATTTCCCCAGTAAACTAAGCAGACATATTGCCCTGTAAGACGATGCCTGAAGCAGTGGATTATACTTTCCTTTTGGTATTAACACTACCAGGGCTTCTTTTCAGATTTTTGGAAAACTTTGGTTACGTAGTAGTCTATTTAACATTTCTAGTACAGTGTGTGGGGCTTTTTCTAATTTTTTTGCGACTGAGATTGCAAATTTACCAGATTGTTAAGAAAAATAATATTTACATTTGCAACCAATTTTCCAAACTTAAAAGAAGATATTTCCATGTATGAGTTATTTTATCGGTTAACAGCACTTATTTTTTATCTATGATATAAACAATAACGCTACTTTCCAAAAAAAAATCATGTTCCGGACTTAAGCTTAGTGTTATTTAAACAGCCGATTATTATTACAAAGTTTAAAAACTTTTGTAAAATTTTCAAAATAGGATGTTTTTGGTGATTGGCGGGCGAGGCGAGTAACAGGCGAGTTCGATAAAGAAACTTTGCTGACGTGGTCCATGCAAACTTTTATCGCCAACCGTAAAAATTATAACTAAGAAAAAACGAAATGCTTATTATAACATCACATTTTAGTATGATAAAGTAAAAAAACAGAAAAATAATGGCAAATACAAAACAAAACAGTTGACAAATATTAGCGGTAGATCAAATATTAGCGGTAAATAAAATATTTGATTTTTACAGTGAGATAATGTTTTTGTTTTCTTTCGCAAATCGCTATGGTAATGCAGGGCTTTAATGGCGGTTGATGATAAAAATAAAAAAACGACTCCAGGTTAACATCGAGACTATCCAGTTCCTGGACAAAACAGATTTGTAAAAAAGACTCTAAAGGTTAAAACACTTTTCGTAAGTGAGATAGTGGCTTTATACACTACGATACTTTTACGATACATGTTGTAGATGTTAATCTTAATTTAGATCACTAGAGTATAAGGATTAAGATCATTTTTGTGAGAGGTTTCTAAAATTAAAATATTTACAAAACATGTATTAAATAAAAAATAACCTAATGCTTTTAATACGAAATAATATGATTACATCACTTAATTCGAAAACAAAAGAGTATAAGATATCGCTCAAAGAAATTTCACGGCTAACGATCAAAACAACTAATAGCAATAAAGAAAAGAATAAAGATCATTTGATCAGAGGAGGCTGGGAGAGCTAAGCGATGCCTCGCAGAGTTCCCATTTGTTTTAATATCATTATACAAAGAACGACCAATACTTAGGTAATAATGATGAGATTTAAATTACATCCCATCGGGATCTATAGGCTTTTTTTAGGGCCCGTGATCATTTGTAAAATTGATTATAGGTAATTTCGTTTGATGATTTTTAAACGCAATTATAATGTCGTTACCGTTTCACGTTGATTCGCGTCATTGAAGGGCAACAGCGGTTATGAAGTTTATCGTATTTTAATTGACATATCTCTCGATATTTGACGGGATCTGCTCTCTATCGTTAGATCAGGCGGTGCAGCGTCTACGAGGGATGTCTCATTAGTCCGGAGAAAATCGGAGAAATGGCGCCAGTACAAACACTGCCGTTTCTCAATTTCATCTAAAATAATATTAAGCATAATTACTAAACTAATTAGTTAACTATTTTCAAGGTAAAGCTGCAATTGCGCCGGAAATAATTTTGATAGCTCCCGTGGGTAGTAAATTGTTCAACACTATTCGATGAAGCCACAGTTTAACAACGTTGTGCATATTAAAATACATACTTTTCTCAAATATCAAATTACAGATTCCAAAAGTGATGGGATGGAAAGAATAGGCCTATCTTTTATACGACCTATCATCGCGGCGTATAGCATACATACCAAACACGGATAAGGTGCGAGGTGCAGCAGAATGGCGAAGACCATCAGGAACAATACAAAAGAGTTGAAGAGATAGTTGACAGTCTACCTCCTAAGACTTAGTAATGTCAACAGAATGTCAAAATAGAAAGAAAAAGAAGTAGAGGAAAAAAGAAGAATGGAAGATGAGGAGGAAGAAAATAAAGTATAAGAGGCGGAAGGAATTATAAGAATAAAAGAAGAAATTTGGGAAGATCATCTCTACTAATTTTCTTTCTTGATTAAGCGCAGTAGTAACTTAAATATAGAAGTTTAACATTAGTTCTTTTTTCAAATTACCGAAAAGGACTAAGTATTTATAAACTACTAAACCATTCAACTTTTAACTTATTTTTTTTTTCGTGCCTGTAAAATAACTGTAATTATTAAACTATACGTGTAAAATATACTGTTTTAAATAGGTTTGATATTTGCATCTTTTATTAAAAATCAGTGTATCCATGGTCACAAATTACAAAATAAAAACGTTTTAAATAAAGTTAAAATAAATCAATCCGTTCTAAATAATGGATTGGTGAATGTGATATAAAAGAAGCAAGAAACCAAAGTCCATGGAATTTGTATTTAGGTAATATTCAATACATTTATTGTATTACTTTTAAAACAAATTTAAAAATACGCCAATTAGATCGAAATAATTAACGAATTGTTAATGTTATTTATGTATTTCATTTGATTAATAGCATTAGATACATATTATCATAAAAAATGTTTTCTATATTTTTGTGCCCTGATACAAGACTGTGTACTGTGTGCTTAAAAACAAGTAGGTAGGTATACAATTTATACAAATTGATAAGTTTCTCGGCATACACACGAAGATACCAGACATTTACCACCTTCGATATATGTCATAACAGCGATTTAAATTGAAGAGAGCACAAATATCAAATAATCATACAGTTTTGATTCGTTCCATGTTGACAATATGCCCGGTGCGCGCTCCCATGAAAAACTAATTACATTGTGGATTTATTATAAGAAAGAAAAGGCATAAATGCGGATTATTACGGAAAACGGTCGACAGTACCATTCGAGATAAATACAAATATTAAAATGTCATCTCAAAAGAAAATACTGTCTCACGATTATAAAGAAACAAACAGTTTTCTAATCCTAATTCTTGTTTAATAATAGAGAAGAAACTTTTTCTTTGAATTTGTGTATTTATTGTTTACAGCGGTTAACGTGGCTAAAAGAAAGTCATTGTTTCGATAATAATTTCTAGTGACATGCTATGGAGCAATTGACATTTTGATTCCGAAATGGTTCGAAAACTGTTCCGAATAACGATGAACATAAAATTATTATAACATTTCGAAAAACACACAATTTTGAGCCGAAGTTTACTGATAATAAACATCTACTAACAATCACTATTGTCGATTGTTATCCGATTCGATAGATTGATGAATTCAATACGTAAGAACCCATACCGTTTAGGCCTCACACACCGGCACATCGGTAGGCATTTTTTTGACCACGCGAACGTTCAAGTCCCATGAAAATCCGCTGTTTATATATAACGACAGTCCCAATACCAAAGGCCGTATCCTATAAGGGCTTTTCAACTATGAACCAAGTTTTTGGGTCCGCGAAGGATCTGGCCCTGGATTTTGTTCGTCGATATATCCGATAGGCTAGAAGCTAGAGGTTGCTGAATTTCATCCGTTTACTGAACGAAGGACCTATTCCCTGGGATCTTAAAATGATGTCAATAATAAATGGGAATTAATATTACAATCATTACAAAAATGAGCAATGAAAACAATAAAGATGATGTTTTGTAGAAAAATATTTTTATTGATATTTTGTTGTGATATTGTAGTGATATTGTCAGTTGCTGTTGAATTGGTAAAGGACAGTGAGAATAGTAGGTTCAAGTTAATATGGGAGATTTTTTTGAAAATGTTTTACAACAGTTATTTACTGTTGATGAAGTTAGTGAAGAGGAAGGAAGGAAGGAAGGAAGGAAGGAAATCCTGTGGCTTGTTTTTAAAAAACTTGAAATTATGGTAAGGAAGGACATTAGGCATCTTTGGAACATTTAATTATATTCCCAAGGAGCGTTGAGGTGTAATTTGTTGAGTTGTAAAAATTTTGAATTATTTATTAAAATTGAAAGAATATTAAAATTTACCCATTCTAGGAGAGGAATCCGTATTGCAACTCAATTACCAATGAAAATGTGTTTAATATTAAGAAATTAAAAAAGCAACATAACAACAAAAAGTTTACGAATTGTACGATATTTTTTATCAAAAACGAATGTATACCAAAGATTGAAAGAATCGGGGAAAAACTGTTCATCCAGTTAGACTAGTTTTTAAAAAATAAGTCATATTTCAGTACTGGCAAACATCCAAGACCTCTATTTTATACTCAAAAGAACAATAAGATAAAATTAAATCTTACCTTTTTTTGGTATCAACGATTTCAACAAGAGTATTGCGTTCTCATCGCAAGCCCAAGCATGCATTTTCCTGTAGCTATCCCGCCCCTTCTCCGTCAATTTATCCCAAGGTTTAGGTTTCGAAAGTAATTCCGAGACCGTTCCTTGGGATAGCCCTAGGACGTACTTAGCGAATAATCTTTGGCCAATGTTGTGGATAGAGAGAAGTTCCCGTACTCTTCGTGCTATGTGAAGGGTATCTAAAAATTTGATTAAAAATATGAAAGTAACAATGAAGATTTTATAAAAAAAAAAAACAAGAAAATCTATATAAAACTGAGTATGGTTTAGAGGTTACTAGTACTAAATCAATTGCCTAAAGAATGGCTAAAGCGATAGACTGGAATTTTCTGAAGTTACGGAGAGCTTAAGCTGACAACTCATTAGACCATTTAGTTCAAGAGTAACTAAATCTTCAAATGCTGCAAATTATTGGCAAGTACCTAGTTTCTAAAGATGTCTTGAATATTGGGTATAATAAGGAATAAAAGAAGATATAACATGGTCAACTCAACTCGACAGTCTTACACCTCCAAGGTAGAAAGAATTAAGATAAAATATGTAAATTTGTCTGGACGTAAAATGGGTTTGTATGGGCAATTAAGGAGAGAGAAACATGGAATGGAAGGATGTATAAAAATAGACCATGATATTGAGGAATGGAAGAAGATCGCATATGATCAACTCAACTCGCCAGTCTTACATCTCAGGTAAAAATAATTAATATTAAAGTAAGTTTGTAAATTTGTCTGGACATAAAATGGATTCAGTTTAAGATATGAAACAGTAATCGAGAGAGTATCGTGCATGAGGTCATAAATTATTCAATGAAACGAAAGTGCGAACATAATACCGTAGCATAATAACAAAATTAAATTCTTACCTAAATTTTGTGAAGCGTATTTATCAATATTGAATCTTAGCATCTCTTGCAATCTCGCTTCCATTGGATCGCCTTTAGGAATAAGGCTCTCGCCAAGTCTGCCTACCATGGAACCGGGTGGCAACCCTAGATCTTCAGCGAATTTAAAGGTTGGCCGATGATCGTCAAATCTGTACGGACTTTTCAAAGTATCTTCAGTCCTCAAAAAGTTATTAACAGCACACATGGCGGACAGAGTGATATTGTTGTTACTAACGTGGTGATTATTGTTATCTTCTTGCGGACTCTTGGGATTTCCGTTGACTAAATTCTCTATCGGAGACTGTTGACAGCCGTGGTCTATTGGTTGCGGGGTGGACGTCGTACTCTTGTCTGCTGTAGAGTCTGCGATAATTGGAGTTGAACTCTTCAATGGACCATCTAAAGAAGTAGAGGGTGATTTTGGTGTTACACGATTTTGTTCAATGTTTCTCCTCCAGGAGGAAACTATTTCCTCTCCTAGTAAACTACCGAAAGCGTCAACGTTTTGGAAAGGAGGCGGGAGGTTATTGGGAGGGGTGATAGACAGGGCAGGGGTTTGTGATGACTGTTGATCAACCCCTAGAAAAAATGGAAATAGTTACAACAGAGGTAAGATAGAGTTGTAAGAGGATTATGAGGGTTTTGGGTATGTTAGTTACAAAGAAATAATACAGATTAAAATTTGCAGTGATTGTGTGGGTAGTGTAAGATTATTTTTAGTTATTCTTTGGCTGCTCTATCATGTTTTTACAAACTGATGCGCGACCGTATTATTTAATAGTACCTTTTAAATATATTTAATTTCAATGAAACAGAATTTGAACAAATTTTGTTCATTTGATCAATAACATTAAGCGTGTAGCTAGGGAGTTAATAATACTGTGAATTTTGTGTACATAAATAAATATTATTTGTCGTTTTTAGTTTGAAAACTTTAGCCTTATAGACTAGACATACACAATTTGCTAAGAATAGCACAGATTATAGAGGAAGTTCACTGGAATTTCAGCCAACCTAAGAAGATGGAAAAATAGTAGAAAATAAGAAGACAACCATCAGAAATGTAGAAGAAGAAGAAGATAAGAAAAAAAAAAGAATAATTGAAAAAAAAAAGAACAAGACTTTATTATCTATTATTACTAGTTCTTATAATTATTTTCTTTCTAAGTGTTCTTTTATTTGATCAGTTTACTCTTTTTATCCCAATTTTGCCATTAATATACTTGTTTATATTAAGATGTATATTTTCTGTTTGAAAATCTCATATTTATTTAGGTTTAATCGTCTTAAAAATTAAGTTGAAAACGGGTGTAGAGACCTCCTCTCTTTATAATATTTATTAATGTTATTTTCTTAATCGAACTAAGGGTCTATTTATTATTATTTATTATTAGTATTTGCATTAGTATTTGCATTAGTATTTGCATTAGTATTTGCATTAGTATTTGCATTAGTATTTGCATTAGTATTTGCATTAGTATTTGCATTAGTATTTGCATTAGTATTTGCATTAGTATTTGCATTAGTATTTGCATTAGTATTTGCATTAGTATTATGATTAAGGATTAAGTTGAACCTTTACAATGTAATGTGGACTTTATACTCGATTTATGATTATTATAAGCATTAATATTTATGCTTAATCATTGACAGGTTTAACTTTTATGTTAAATCTTAAATTTCTTATTTTCTATCAAATAAATCTAACGTATTTGGCCTTTGTTTTTAATAGACAATACAATGATTATGTTGTAAGATTTTGTTTTTAGGTTTTTCCAACAAGGTCGAAAACGATATTTCAGTACAAATCATGCGCTGTATACAATTTTTGTGTATAAGCAGTGCATAAAGTTGACAAATGACATGTCACCACGAGGAAGCAAAGGCCTCTTTTCTGTCTGATTTGTCTTAAATTTCTGCTTCTTTTTATCTGTTATAAATGTGAGACGAAAATCCGTTAAAATGTCCTTAATTAAACATATTTTTGAATAATAATATTTTTAAATAAAATTAACTAGTAAAAATATTAATAAAAACACTTTTAAAACTCAAATATCTTAAAAAAGTGTCTAAAAACACAAGAGGTCTCTTACACATTTCTTCAGTAACCAATATTTTGTAGACTGCAGAATTATATCTTGTTAGGAAAAGGATTATTAAAAAAGAAGCACTAATATTAATTATAAAACGAGTATAAATACCCTTTTTGAATACTTCGTCCAGTTTAATGCTTAATCATAATACTAATACAAATACTAATAATAAGGGAGTATAAATAAACCCTAAGAGAATGCAGATCAATATCTGCAGAAGCTGCTTAAGATTCATAATATACACTTTTTAATCCATTACCTTTTTTTACCTTTTACAATTAGGTTTTGGTAAAAAAATATGGCGGACACACTATATAATAAATTATAAGAAATTAAACTAGGTTAACGGTTGGCTCTGTGCACGTAGTTTAAATTAATAATGAAAAATTGTATTATTAATAAATTTTTAACGAAATACAAATTTTTCATTGTTACACTATATTAGAGTCGCTAAGCCAAGTTCACAATAATAATTATATATAAAATAAAAATAATAATGTTGTAATTACTCTTTTGATGTATTTTAAATGTAACTATTAAAATAGTAAATAAAACTAACCAGAGAGTGCACTGTAGAATCAGACCTTCAATTGTCATAAAAATGAAACTAGTTCTTATTTCGTAAAAAATAAAGAATGAGACGGTTCCCATGGTGACGAAATTATCCTTACGATTGTTTATAAAAACAATAAAAACGGAGTTTCTCAAGAACTGGCAATAATAAATTGGATTTCCTACGTTTTTAAAATATCGGTTGAAGCAATAACAAAAAGGTTGCGTGACATTTAGAAAGGAACAGTAGTTAATATTGTACGACTTTATTCTTTAAAAGTAATAAATAATTAGGAACACATAATAATTGAGATTTTATGATAAAATTGGGATAATTTCTTGACGAATTATTTCATTTTGTAGGTATATATGAATAACATGCCTAGAAAAACAAGCATAATATAGCAGGAAAATGCACTAACAAGAGTTTTGAAAGAAATAATAAAAATATAGATTACACTAAAGCTACTTTCAATAATACTAGATACAGAAATTCAATGTGCCAACAAAAATAAAATTGAAAACTTAAGATATCAATTGAGAAAAAGCTATTTGCAGACAAAATGTCAATAGTATTAGGAATTATTGAAAACGTATAATTAAATTAAACTTAGGTGAATCAAGAACTATGGTTAGATCTTCAACAGAGCAAATGTATATCAATGTATGTAGATAAGGGAAGACAGTAGTAGAATTAACAATCAGAAACCAATAGAAAAATTAATAATAAACAAAAAATAATTGATACCATATATATGCCTTTTATCAAAAAAATAATTAATATATAAAACAAGAAAAAACTTCAGAAATTAAATATTTTAAGACAGTTCATATATAATTCCAGAAAAGGAACAAACTAAAACGGTACATACAGAAGAAGAAATTAGACATGGTAACAAATTCCACTGATCTTTTATTGAGTTAAATAAAATCGAAATCAAAATTCCTATGGTCATATTTTCATCTACGAAACGATTTTCAAATCAGGGCCGCCGAGAGCCAGGCCGGGCCCCAGGACAATTCTCTAGATCGGGCCCCGTGACAAAAAACAAAAACTTTTCCTCTTCTAGTTGAATTGAGTTTCTAAAAAAAAATCCTCAATTCTTCCTCTGTTTCAATTGCTTTTTCTAAAAAAAAACAACAAAAAAACAACAAAAAAACAACAACAAAAAAAAACAAAAAAAACAGCTCCCAACCAAAAACAAAAAAAATTCAGTTGTCGGGCCCCCTTTATACCGCTGCCGGGCCCCCATTTGAGTCCGGGCCCCGGGAATTAGTCCCGGCTACCCTCCCTCTAGTCGGCCCTGTTTCAAATACCCACACACGTCGGCGAATACACAAAAATACTATCCCAAATCTCAATTTTGATTTATGGAAACTCAAAATTCCACTTCGCCACTAAATCTATTTCTAAGCAACGAAATTATTTCATTTTAAGAATTACGAGGACTCTGAAAGACAGTTTACAACTGTAGTTAAAGATGAAATGCACCAATAAATCTTCGTAGGACCACAGAAAGACAAGAGATCGAGTTTGTATGCGCTCGTTTACGCGTTTACATGCTTCCAGTCGAATAAAATTTGTTTGAAAATGATTATTTTTCGATTCTCATTGTAGTAGAATTGTTTTGTTTTAATTAGGACAGCGCTAGTTTTACTTTACGGACGAAATATAAGATGTGAATCAAATTCTTGAGGTCGGAAGTAGGTAAATGTGATGAAATTGACCTGTCGTCTTCATTGCTTAATTTTGGACTATAGTAATATTTATAAGACACCCTAGGTTGAATTATTTTATTAGCATACCCATAAGTCCATTTTTGGAAATAACGTAATAATTATTTCCTCTCATGAAGGTTTTTCTATGATGCCATAAAACTTCTGTATTACACTGTATCGTTTGATTCTAGTTTTATATTTTTTCTGGCGCTCTTTTTGCAAATTCAACAGCTTTTTTGTAACCCTGGATCACCCGATGACCCGCAACAGTTTGGACGTTAGAAACAGAACAAAAAAATGTAATATTTTAAAGGAAATTATTGGGAATCAAAATTGAGAATAAAACGAAGGGTGAAAATAAACGTAGTAATTATGAGTTAAAAGTATGGTGAGAAGAAACGCAATGAATTGCAAAATTAAAGAATAAAAGGCATGTAAAACATTTAAATAATACGAGTAGATACTAGGCTTGCAGAGCAATAGATTTACATCAGATATTTAAGGTTGAAATTAGGAGCAACATATTTAAAATAATTTGAAAATCACCAAGATACTCTCTAAGTAACTACCTTCTAATGTTCTAATTGTGAGTAAACGATTCCATTACCTATTATTTCGTAAAAATCTACGTTACCCATCAAACTTCTAATAACCTCAATAAAATGTATATCTACATAAAAGATCTGCATTTGATTTTGATTCATGATTTCCTTCTTTACGGTCGAGAACATATATCTAATTAAAAATACTGATTAATTATTCTGATGCGCATGAATTATGTCTAGCTTTTTTTTTGGGAAATTTGTGGGACTAACTGTATAAAACAATAAGATTTTATCAGTAGCTTTGTTGAGCTTCTTTGATTCGTACCAAAATTTTATTAAATTAAAGCAGCGGCGGAACCGTACAATTAAAATTCCTAATTTAATTTTTTTTGGATTTGATCATTTTGTACTTATGGATGGGAAAAATGCGGGGGAATACTGAATTTTTGACAGCTTTGAAATAAAGCAAGAATTTTATATTGCTGACATTCTATCTGAATTCCCCTAATTAAGATAAATATAGCCGCAGCAACGCTATAGTTACAGTGATGATCTGCCTCCTACATCTGTCTTATCCAGTAAAAAATAGATTCAACTGTAGTTTGTCACTGTTGGAGTTGATGAAGAATAAGTAAGACTAATAAGTAGGAAATGGAAAAAGAGGGGAATTAAAGAAAAGAAGGAAAAATAAAAGAAAACATTAGGAAAATAGACGAAGGTAAGATGGAACCTAAGGGGAAAGAAATAATAAAGGAAAAGAACTGTGGCAATTTTACTTTGAAAATAAATACACATATATTTGAAAACATTTTAGTCCACAAATCATTCTCTATTTAAGTTTTATTTTGTTGGGTACTTCCATGGTTCGTATTATAAAATTATAGAGGTTCATGATTTAGAGTTTCGACACGGAGTAATTATTATAATTGTTTTTGTAGTTTCATGTGTTGATATATTGTTCCTTCCACTTTCATTTCTAATTGTTTTAAACACACTACATTTAACTTAACCAATTTAAAAAAAGTCATAATTTTACTAACTTACAGTTTAGTGACCAGATTATTATAATTAACTTTTAAAAAAGAATAGATATTTCGCATAAAACAAAAGTAAGATAAATCGTGTAGATACATATTTTGACAAACAATGTCATTTATATTCTTTACACTACTACTTTAAAAAATGTAAAATTTGTGAAAAGGTGTTAAAAATTAAAAAAATATAGCAATACTCTTATTTAAAGCTTGTAAAAAAATCATATTTTCTCTTAAAAAAAAAAGAAAAAATTATTAGAAATGAAAATTACAATTAAGAAAACAAGTTTTGCATATTGACATTTATAAGCGTATCTAGTTATAAAACTGTAACAACCACTTTGACAAGATAAATAATTGGCGGCGGTATAAGAGGTAGGCAGAGGTATAAGTTCGGCGATTTTTATCATAATGTATGAGTTGTGGTGGAAAATATGGGCAACACATTGAAGGGGACATTTTTGTTTAACATATTTATATAATGTGGACAATTTTTATTACTCGGAGCATAGAAACTTAATTAAAAACTTAGAAATAGTTCCAGTCCAGTATTATAATGCATTAAAGATGCTATATAAACGGTACTTCATGACCATAGAACAGCTAACAGGGTATTTTTTTCTAAATTAAACTATTTTTTTATAAGGTATTTGTTACCATTTTATATACGTTTTACAACCAAATTTTCTTTTTTAAAATCCGTTGACACATTGGCAATCGAAGACAATTTTTTTTAAATCACGAGTTTATAAACACTGCCACAAGAAGTTGATGTTCTAAAATTTTTCTTGTAAAAAGTAAAAAAGTTAGTAAGCTATGACCTAAATATCTCGAAATCAATATAGAATATTTACCAAAAAATATTTGATAGAAAGGATATGTCGGTTAAAGATTAAAAAACAAAAGTATGCCTTTGGAAATGTGAAAACAAAAACACCAATTAGTTCCTTTTTTCTTTTTTCTTTTTTCTTTTTTCTTTTTTCTTTTTTCTTTTTTCTTTTTTCTTTTTTCTTTTTTCTTTTTTCTTTTTTCTTTTTTCTTTTTTCTTTTTTCTTTTTTCTTTTTTCTTTTTTCTTTTTTCTTTTTTCTTTTTTCTTTTTTCTTTTTTCTTTTTTCTTTTTTCTTTTTTCTTTTTTCTTTTTTCTTCTAAATCAGATTTTTCAAATTTTCTTTGGTTTGTTTTCACTTTTCACAGAGGTTTTCACAGATGTTATAGGAATGGATTCATTAATTTATTTGGGGAATTCCAAATGCATTTTTAAAAATGACCCTTATACCTGTTTTGCTATGGAGCACCAAGCACCATAGTCGAATTTTGTTTAGAAATTTAATTTCTATGGTGCTGTTACAATAATGAATTGGAACTTTTTCCCCAAATTTTCTACCACCCTGTATAGAAAGACTTTATAACTGAAGTGCATTTACTTAATAGTCACAGCTCATAGCGTCTTAAATAATTTAGATCTCATTTTTGTTTCGATCTTTTGTTTGGATATAAATAAAGTTGTTATTAATGCCGAGTTTGAGTATCCACATCGGATGCATCTGAGATGTTGTGAATTTTTTATCGCGTGATAGAGAATTAGATCTGAATGTAGATGTAATAAACAAACGCTCTAGACTTTATTGGTCACGTGATAAAATGACAATGACAAGTTATAAGTTTATACTTTTTAAATTTGACTTTTGAGACTACAAATCAACCTAAATTTGAAATCTAAACAAACATTAAATAAACTATTCACTTTTATATTTATGCTAGCATAAACAAAGGATAAAATGACAAACTTGGCTTCACAGAACACTTAGGTACTTTCTGACATTGAACGAACATCTCATTTACATATCATTTCAAATCCAGATGTAAAAAATGTAATCTGAACAGGTACATCTCGGATAAACAAATGCAGATGTAGATGTAGTAGATGTGTCCGATGTGGATAAACAAACGCTCGAGTTATAAAAAATGCATCGGATGTAGATATTCAAACGCGGCATATGTAAACAAAATCGAAATAAAAGAAAACGGTATTTACCTTCACTTTCCCTTTCCCTCAATGGCGATTTATCTCTTGGTTCTTGAGGCAGAATTTTTGATTTTTCTAATAATAATTCTATATTTTTTACTTCAGGATTGCTTACTAGATCGATTCGCAACAAACTGCAACAAAAAAAATATAAAAATATAAATACATACATTTTAAATTCTAAAAATAATCATAGCGATTGTATACCGACCTTATTTCTCTTTTTAAATCTTCGTAGTCTTTTTGAGTTTCTAGTTTGGTTTCTAATCGTAAAATATGTTGTCTTTTTTGTTCCAGTTGATCTTCTAATCTATTTATTTGTGACATGGACGATTCTTGTAATTTCGACAGACATCCCTGCAGCCTTTGAATTTCTTCTACAAGTTGATTTATCTGCAACAAAATAAATCAAAATAAATATCTCAAACATTCTGTTAACTGTCCACATATAAATAAAACTTCTGGAATATTATGTAAGTGGGAAAATAAAAAAAGTGTTAAACTTTTATCACCAATTTCTAATTTGTAAAATTAATCCTATCTCTAAAAAGAACCGATTGTTCTAAAGCAAATAAATCGAGCGATCGTATTATTATATCGATTGATTTCCGTTCAACCAAACGCAACCCTATAACATGAATATTGCAATATACATTCTGAGAAACATTTCTCAATTAATCGAGCAAAAGGGGCGCTCTTCCACCCCCACGAAATTAATCAATGCATCTAAATTTCACCTTATAGGGGGTTGGATTAATATAATGTCTTCATTTTACAGTAGCGATTGATTGATTTTGATACCACGTCATCACTAATTGTAACTTCTGTGTAGAGAGTTCTTCGGATATTGAATTTGGGGTTTGAAAGGGAAACCTATCGATTCCGCACCGGGTAGATAATTACGTAGGGCATTTAAATCTCAAAATGTCACACTACAATACGCGTTCATAAAAATTAATTATAAATACATATAGTAATAGAAGATGTATTTTTATGTCGGAATTCATCAAGGATCTATTTCGGGGCCCTATATTGTTGGCATTATTTATATTTTAGTAAAAGAAACAATTTTTATTAGTTAAACTAATAATATTTTTTATGTTCTTCAAGGACGATATACATTTAGACTTGCATTAAGAGGTATAACGTAGAATACGTCAAACCAGAATCAAATAATTTTTATTTTAAACAACAGATCCAATGCACATAATATTTTATAAATTATTTAAGAAGCTCTGAAAAAACTTTAAGATAAATACTATGGACATAATGGATTCAGTACTACAATTGATCTGACATACTTTTCGGATGCTATTTCAAACAACATTAATAAGGAAAAATTAGTTTTTCTAAAGATTTAAGATTTATAAAACGCGTACCTCAGGGTTGACGGGACCGCTTTCGTTCCTAATTACTTTTTGTTCACACATATTTATGTTTAGATGAACAAAGGAAAAAAAGACCACCACAAATAATCTGAATATTTTAGATAGGTGGTTTTCAACCTAATTTACTCAATAAAGACATCAATAATAAACAATAAATAAGTTAAACAATTAGTTGCTGTTTTTTCGGCAATTATTCTGAAGCATTAAATTACCTTCCCGAAGCATTAATAGCGGTATAATAAGAAAATTTCTACCGCAAGGGTTTTTACAACCTCTTCTCTAAGATATAAGAGAATTGGATTACAATACACTTTTGAACGTTTGAACATTGAATATCCCTCATATTTAAATTATCTATCCGCGCTAACATCCAGCTTAAATCGTGTTACTTCTCCGATAACAATACCGATTTATTGGAAGATCAAAACAAAAAATTGCGGAGATTCAGAGCCCCATACCCAATCGCTTGACGAAAACGTACAAAAAACCTGATTAATCGTTCTGAACCGCTGGAATTTTGGGGTCAGTCAAAGGCGATTTCAAAAGTCGTCGCTGCCGATGCCAATGCTGGTTTTTTTATTATTGTTTTTAATCATTTAGCACTTGGATGCTACGTGATATTTATTCAATTAAAAACGTCGGTAGAGGCTTTTCGATCGCTTACGAGAAGCCTAAATTGGTTTAGAAATGACAGTTCATAATTCTGCTTTAAATACAGTGATATATCGCAGAAGTTAAATTTTTGTAGCCGTTATATACATTTATGATATCGCCCCACTTCTGAGTAAGTACTCTCCCAATTATGATTATCGATTTTTTATTATTTCATGAAGGAATATTTCAAGGTTTTTGAACTCGTCAATATTTTATATATCTAGTTATCAATCTAATCTTGCCAAACGGTTTTTATACATAGCTTTAGTGTATTCAGTTTACAAAGAGTTTAAGTTTGACAAAAAATCAAATTTGAGACTAGGGTACTTAACAAACCACATAAGTATATCTAGTAATTATGTCTACAAACTAAAGCATAAAATAGCTTTTTGTGTATGTCTACAAACTAAAGCATAAAATAGCTTTTTGTGTATTAAGAGCGAAAAGTGATACTTTTCCGCTTGAGACAAAAAGTTGCACGCGCGACGCATAGCAGAGCGCGGCAATCTGTCAAAAGCGGCAACGAACTTTTTGCTCAAAATGCACAGAATATTTTTCTACGATCACATTTTTTTAAGGAATAGATATAAAAACTGAAAATTTGTCGTAAGTAGTAGGTACATAATGTGATGTTTGTTTATTTTAAAACAACAGTTTATTTACATAACATTACTATTCTAATTTATATATATTTCGAATGTCTTTGAATCGTTGACTATTTATATTCACCACTGTCTATATACTAATGATTGCCTGTGTTCTTCCACCAATATTTATATACAAATTTTAAATTTCTGGTGGGCTCCAGAGCGTTCTCGCCAAAATTAGAAACATTATCACATTGACCCTGGAATGTACTCGAACAGCACCTCCACCATAGTCGTCACCTATGTTTGGTTTTAAGGGGTTTAATTATGTATGATAGTCGGACAAGTTGAGCCTCAAAGGCCAAATAAGACAGAGAGGAACTTGGAGAGTTAGAGCATGACTGAATAATGAAATGACTCACATTTCAATAATGTGTTGCCTATACCTACGTTAATTATAAAACAAGCCGTTGGTATTTAAATTCCATGTTAACTTGGATAATATAACAAAAAACATGTGACTACGTACAAAAAATTTGAAAATTATTTTATAAAAAGAAATATTATGGTACTATAGCTGATTTAAATTGGGCCAGCAATAAAGGTGTCAACTTTGCGGTTGGATTTCGAAACGCAAAAGCCTGCTTTGGATAGTGATCGTAGAAAAAAATATTTTTCCAGTCCCTGTACAACATCAATAGTTTGAAATTTGATGTTAACAGATATTTTTTAAAGTACCTACCTGTAGGTACCTTCAATTATTGTGTTTCAAATTTCATCATTTCAAATATGATGTCGCACTTCAGAAACACGCTGTATAAATGCAATCTTGGGTGTGATAAAATACAGGAAACTGTTTATATTTGTTTATTTTTTAATTTTGTTGATAAAGCTTTCATACGGGAAGTTATAAAATTGATTGCTTAAATCTTTTGTGAAAATGAAAAAGTAATAATTCGTATTCATTTCGATGATTTTCCTGAAAAATTGGCTTTACGATTATAGAAGTATATAAATGTCAATTTCAATAATTACTAATATTAATAAAACATTTAAAAATTCATTAAATTAAATGCCAAGAAATAATCGTAATCCATATCTGATTTGTTAAAAACTATATAAAGCCTAAATGCTAAAACCTCTGAACGGCATCAACTAAACGCACCAAATTCAGTAGGGTCCATTTACAATGAGAAGAACATAGCTACGCCATCACTTAGCGGAATCATTTGTTGGCTATCACCGCCTGCTGGTTGTTTAGTGGCATGTTAATGTAATAGAAATATAATAATTATTCTTTTAAACCAATCAACTCACTTATTCCTTGATAAATTGATAGTTATAGGAAACATATATTTGAAATAATGGTTCTGACGTAGCGGTGTTCTTTTTATTGTAATCGGATCCATGCAACAACCTGATGATAAAAATGCTATAAAAGAGCATTTTTGGCGTAAAATTAGGACTGTTGTAAATAGCGTATTACCATTATTTCATCGGACTAACATAAATGAATGACAAATGTTTAAAGGTATTTTGGTACAAACCTCGTATCCAAACCCCGGCCAATAAGCATGAAGTCCGGGATTAATGTCAGCCGACCCACTACGATATGTAAAAAACACCCTCCACCCTTGTAAGGTATCGGTTTGAATTATTATATTAAATATATCAACCTTCCCCATTTCCCTTCTGTTCGATTTTATTTTTTACTTTTAATAGCCCGCGCCGGATTATAGAACTAAGGGTTTCCACTTTCAACTAAAAAACGGATGAATTATACCTTCCAAGTGGAAGGCGAAGACGATTTTTTATTGCCAGTTCCGCGTTGTTATCTGAAAAACGGATCGAAAATAGCGACGCTGCAGTCGATCCTACTCCTATATATATATTTTTTTTTCGAAGGGGTCACACTATTTTTCATTAGTTTAAAAATATTATTCTTGTATTTAGGGTTTTTTGATTTTTTGTTAACGAGGTTTTAAACATATTTTAAACCTAAATTCAAAATTGAAAGTTGATTCATCAAACCTAATAGATTAATTTAAGAAGAAAATGGTGTTAAAATTCGTAATTTTTATGTTTTTAATCCAAATCATTTAAACGGCAATACAAGTAATATCTAAAATGTTTTCAATTTATGGTTGATTATTTTTTAATTATTTGTCAAATTAGTAAAATTTTGTAATTTTAACCCATAAAAACCTATATAGACCTTCTCTTGGATCCAAGACCCTGGCTCTTATCATCTGCTAGTGTTGGTACATTTTTTAAGGTGGACCAGCTTTCACATGCAGTAAAATCTGAATTTTTCAATATCTGATTTTGTTGATAATACGATATTCAAAGAAGATAACGATGCCTATTTTGCGGCTAAATGGAACATTTTTTAGAAAGATTAAATTCATTGTAGAATAGTTGGCGTTAGTGATGTGTAGTTAACGAAGATATTCATCGTTAGCGTAGTTTTCCTAATAGTTATTTTACAAACAAGTCAATTAATAACAAAGATTAATGTCGTCAATAACATATGAAAATTAATCGCTTTTTAATATATATTTTTTTAATTAATTACAGAAATGTAATTTCCATTGATTCGGCACTTTGCCAAATAACCTTTCTACACCTTAGAATATTGATTTACTATGCGGATTGAACGCCTGATATTATGCATTTTCTCTGTTTATATTTTGAATCATCGAGAACAACCTTCAATTTTAACATACTAAAAATTAACTCTCTACAAATACGTTATTATTTTAATAG